TTTTAATAACGTCAACATGCATAGGTCATGAAACGTCATCTTTAAGATGCAAAGATTAAGTTCTATATCTGGAGAACTACAAGGACAACTAAATAAAATATTGAACTGCGTTCTTGCAAAGACTTTACCTGACTACATGTGGACGAAAACAAAACAAACTCATAAAACAACACAATGCGGAAAAGCGCTATGTTCGGTTCCTCGAACAGACTTTTATATCTAGGTTTGGTTTTTTGATTGTTTTGTTTAAGGCCCAGGTTGTCGGAGAATGCCCCACCTTGCGCGCAACCTAAAAACAATTTTGAAGGTTTTGTTCGAAAGTAAGTGAGGTTTTCAATGCTGAGCGACGTCAAACGAAAGTGAGACAAAAGCATGTTGATTGATAAATCCTACTGATAAACATGGAAGCTTTTAAAATCATCCAGTTTTCCGGGGAGGCGCTCCGTCATTGAAGTATTTTTCACCAAGAATGGAGGGCGATAACCATTTTCTTTTCCATTTTTTCAGTTACTATAAAAACAAAGTTTAAGGCCGTACGAGAAAATGTATTTTCGCAAGGGGGATGAAAACACCGAGCTGTATTCTGCATTTATACTATAGGCGGACCTGTCAGTAAGACTTACAAAGGAAAAAAGCTCCAGACAATATTGCGGTCAACACTTTGTTTTTAAGGTAAAGTGAATAATAGGCCCACCCCAGTTATGGAAATGCAAGTGTATTGCAAAAATTTGGACTGGACCATAAAAAACAGACTCGGTGACCACATTAAACATATCTCATTGTAAAGAACAAACGTGGCCGCGGAAAGGATACTTTTTGGTAAAAATGGTAGACCAAATTTTGCGCAACAAAGGCTTCAGGGTGTTATACATATATACTGTAAAACGTTATTTTCGAACTTGTAAACATATAATAAACGTTCTTTTTCTAACAGGTTATAAACATTTTAACATCTTTTACGGAGAAACACCATTTACTAAAGAGTGGTCCCCCTAAAAAAGTTACACTGTTTCAGACGCACATTTCTCGAAATTGTGGAGACATGTTAAAATGGATAATCTTATACTACATCATCTACGTGGTACGGTGGAAACGGCGCTGAAAATATAGCCTGAATTAAGAAAAAGCGATGGTTTAAAAAAAAAACATGGTCTAGTTTTTTTCACACGCAAGTCTATGAGATATGGTCAACTCTAGCATACTGGAATTTGTATCCTTGTGGAGACATTTCTTTGTTCTCGTGTAGTAAAGTTTTCGAGTTTGAAAGCGTTGTTTCAAAATGCTCTTATTTTAACCAGAATTAATTTCCTTGGCTGAAATTCGGACTTAATATCCCTTTTCTAAAACTCTTCCATTTGCGATGGATTAACCCACCTTGGAGATTCCTAGTTTTGAGTAAAATCCATATATCTATTTCGTGAAAACCTTGTGGAGACGTATTCATCTATAGAAATTGCCCTGTGGAGACGTATACAATCTTTTGTTCCCGATATATTGTGTGCATGTCTCCAGACGAAGCTCTTTTTTAACATTTTGTTTTCTGCAAGTGACCGAAATTGTGACGTAATTTCGATAAGAAATGTGAACTAAGCAGTTGATTGGTCAAATTTGGCTATCGTGTTTTTGTGTAATAAACACAACGGGTTGCCGAAGACCCGATAGAAGGCGCCCGCTGAATGGTCAGAATCTCGAGGTCAAGACGCAGTCTTCATTTGCATATTATTCATCACCGAATCTGCTCGTATATGATAGATATATAGATATTTCACAGGCTGCCCATCTACCAGCCTTCTAAAAAAAATCTCCAAAAGGCCAAATGTTGCAATACAGTTGGAAACATTTTGTCTAAATACTACAAGCTCACAATTTTTGCACTGAAATATCACGGTGAAGTCTAAACAAAAAACTTAGCAGAAGGAAGGTATTATCATGATTTTACAAGAGGTTTTTTGTTTTTACTTCACCAGTTAGTCGCTAAGATCCATTCTCAAATACAATCGCTGCACTCTAACCTATTCTGACAAATGAAAAGAAAACGACTGAACATTATACATCAATACAAACGCAAGAAAAGCACTCGAGAATCATTGGACAAAATCAATTAGATAAATAACGTGCTATAATTCTTTTATTCTTTTTTTTTCTCTTGCTCGTGTTTTTCACTAATGCTACAAACTATATTTTACTGCGGAGATAGCGTTTTGTCCAAGAACAAAAAAAAAACCTCGAGTCTGAAATGTCAACTCTACAGCCAATTATTTTGGTTAATGTTAAAGGTTACAAATCATTAATTTAAGGGATCTTGATATTCCTATAGAAGGTTGATTTCTGTCCGTCGGTGCAAAATGTCCCTTTTCATTAAGTCTGGTTTTTAATGTCTATGGTTGTCAAACGTTTCAACTGCAATGTTTAATACTTTGGGTAATGTCTACCCTCAGTTCGCTTCTGATCAAGCAAAAACTCTTTGTCATATACATCGTGTTTAGGTATAATATTTAAGCGATTAACGGTTGTAATTCCAACTACAGTACGTAGGTCTAATGGTTATAATGTGTAAGGCATGGCAGCATTAGGGTCTATACAGGGTGGTTAAAAAAAAGGAAACCCACTTTTGACAGGAATTTTAAACTACTTACTTAACTTATTTGAGCTGGGTTTTTTTCTATAATAAAGTGAAGTATAGCTCTTCAATCATACGTGGTGAAAAAAAATCTTTAAAAAAATCGCAAGAATAGTGTTATTATGCTCAATTGAATACAAGTCACCAAAATCACTGTTTTCCACGTGTAGGCCAAGTGTAGTGTTTTTTTTTGTGTCTTCAATTCAAGCTCCGGAGCTCAGTCAAGCGGATGGTATAAGGCCGTCCATGGACAAACGGGTTTGGCACATGAAATGTTTAAACTAGCAAATATCTCAGAGACAACATTTGCATTGGCAATCATTTTTTTTTCGTCACTTACGGTTAAAGATAAATCTTTTAACACTATTAAATTGAATTTTGTTTATATATGCTCAACAAGTAGGTGAAAAGTAGCTGTCAAAAGTGGATTGACTTATTTTTGCATCATCTTGTATAACTAAGCTTAAAATACTACCCAGCATTAAAATGCATTGATACTAAGTGCAATGTCTATTCCGCGTGGCGTGAAAAATATGATGAAGAAAAAAGTCAGTGTTCGTGTTTAATTCTCCTCTACGTGATGGCAGGAAGGAATGAGATGTGATAAACACAAATATTAACGTTCTAGAAGAGTAACAAAATAACTGCATTTTATACAAGAAAAAAATAAACGTCTTATCTTTTTTTCTTTTACAGTGCAGAAGAAAAGATGTTACACTTCACGGTAAGGGCCTGAATATTCAGCGCATGTGATACGCCATAATGTTTCAACAAATGGTAGTGCAAACTGCAACGGAATATGAAATAAAGACAAAAATAGACCTACGGCTTAATTGCTGTAGTATTCAAAACGGACCCATTTGACGTATATGCACACGTATATTGTTGTACTCCAATTATAGGCCTACAGGGCGGAAGGGTCTATTTTTACATTTTGCAGTTTTCACAAAACTCTTTCTAGAGGCGTCTAATCAGTTTTCAAAACTGAAAAACAATATGTTGTATTATTGTTGGGCGCTTCTCTGCATATTTATTATTTTTGAAACTCTTTGGATAACACACCTAATTCTCAGTCCCTAAAGGTCACATTCTGACAAAAAATACTCTGAACTAGAATTATTTGATCCAACTAACGTTCTTTCTTCTCTTTTCTTTTCTTTTCTTTTCTGTTCTCTTTTTTTAAACACAATATTACAACAAGGTGTTTTAAATAAATACCAAAGTCTAGGAAGCAAACAAATGAATTTTAATTTATGTTTTTCTCAACTAAACAGATTAAAGTTTAGTAACTATCTTCTTTATACCATGTGAACATCAACAGCGACTAGATTTTGCGATATGGAAGTTAGAACCTTGAGGCAAAAACAAGGAGTTCAAACAAGAAAGTAGGAAATAGGATCACTACGATTTTTAAAATTATTTTACAAACATGTACATGTCCATGTTCTGTACATTATGTCTTTGTGTCAATATGAACATTTGTTTTCAACGCTGTTGTCGGGCACATGCGTTTTGAAGCCTTTTAAGGGTATTCAGTATTTTTTTCATACTATATTTTAGGCTACTTTTAACTTGTTTAAGTCTCAAAAATAGAAATAAAATGCTTCTGTATTTAAGTAGGCAATGGCTTTTGTTCGTGGTATACTTCCTATGTTTACTTGTTGATACAAGCAATGCAAAATGTAGGGAAAATATTACATTGATATTTCCCGGCAGGTGTTGATATGCTGATTGCCATGGTTTCGTGTCTATACCTTTGGAACACGCTGATTTACACATTTTCCGCAAATACAAGTGTCTCAAAAAACCCACATCACGCACCCTCTTTGCCACAACTTAATAAAAAAAATACATCAGAAATATTGATGTATATTTAAAAGTATACCCAATCGGAAAAAAAAATATTGAGTTGTGGCCGATATAAAAAAATACAGCCCTTTCATTTTGTCCACCATCTTAATTGTCACTTACTAGAAATGCAGTGGATTTGGGTTAAGGGTAGTTTTGTTTTTCTTCAACGTTTTTTTCTTTATTTTTGTTCTTTTACACTTTTTATTCTTTGCAACAATGTTCATTTCTGTTTTTGGAAAATGGTAGTCCTGAAAAGGACTGTTTTGTTTAGCTTCTTAGATGTTTACTGTTCTGATCCACCCTCTACTTGGCTGCCTCATTCATGGATGCAAGTTTCGGCCATTGTTCTCATTGCAGCTTTCAAACGTTGGACGCCGTGGACAGAATGAAAAAGAGGTACCTTTGTTTAATTAGCCACAACTCAACAAGTCTTGAACGGATTGAAATGATATGTTCAGTATATTAAAGCTAACAAATTAAGGTTTATGGACAAAATAAACCTTAATTTATAATTTTAATTAATAAACCAAAATAAAGTTGACTTATGCTTTACAAAGCTGTAAAAAAGGGCACTTTTGAGGGTTCGGGTTTTTTTTGACGCCCTGTGGGTTTTCTTTGTATTATATCTGCTGATACCACGCACATTTACAAGACATTTAGGGTGTTCATTAGAAATAGCAAGGCCTACCAAGAGACAAGGGTTGATTGCGACATTGCAATACTGAAACTACCTAGTTTATATCTGTGCGTTACTTTTTTTTACTGCATTTGCTGGTCGTGTTGTGTTATCATTTTGTACACTTATTGAAGAATTTTTCCAATGCGTTCTAACCATTGTCCGGAACTATTATTGCCATTCTTGGCTATCAGTGTTATATGTTCGTGCCTCCTTTCTGAAATGATTAATTTCCTGTTTTCAGCTATTTTCTGACCATAGTCATGAAGTTTGTACTTAATATAAACAATGGATTGGATAAAGAAAAGCCTCATTCATACCGGAAAGTATGTTTTGCGAGGGATAAAACTTATCTTACAAATCCCGTTTGACCATTGTCGTGAACGCAATGGCCAAAGTCTTAATTGACTTAGGAAAGGTCGCTTTTACAGCACTGGGCTCAGGTCGTCCCATTCAGCGCACCCTTAAAGACAGCTGATACACGGCAAGAATGCAAAGATGAAACAATATTTTGCATGAACAATTGATTTACTATACATGCCTCCGTATCGAACCTCGACACATTTGTTAGCGGCTCTCATATTCGCCACCTGTAAATTATCTCAGGTTGATTAGCAAAGCCACTTTTAAAATAATCAACATCTGCTCAATAGCTAGACGTCGGGAAACCAGGCGGAATTGGGGTACACTATGTGGCACTGTCTCTGACAGTGACATCTTTAATCGCGTTGATGTTGTAAGCCTAGTTGTCAGAGTCCAAAACTGTCGTACTCAAATCAGTCTTATTAATTACATAAAATCATATTCATCTTGTTTCCCAAACAGAATACTTTACAGTTAATCCACATTGACTTGAGCATGTACTTTCCCAAAATAATTCATGCCTGCAAAATGAAATGATCAGTTGTTTCCCGTACAATTTGACCTTTAGTTAATTATGCGTGTTTTATGTTCCGTTCCTACGCAGTTGACTCCGCGTCACTCTTGAGACTGTACCTGACCATCGCCCGGGGCTAGTCCTCTGGACTCGCCTAGGTGGTAATTCCTGCTTTCCCGGTACACGCTCTTGCCTTCGTAAAATTGTCGAACCTGGACAGGAATGGCAAATCGAGAAGGGAGAATAAAAATAACGTTGTAGTCTAAAAACAAACAAGACCTGTGTAAGATTTGACCCGGAATATGGGTCCCATTATTTTGATCTGATTTTTTTCAGGGTCAAAATGACACTTTTTTTGTGGTAAAATGATACTTTGACAATGTTTCTAAGTCAAAGAGACACAGAATATAATACGATTCAAGAGAATTGTAATTTCGACCCTGGAAATTGTCATTTAGACCCGGGAGAAGTGTCATTTTGACACGGAAAAATGTCATTTCGACCCGAGAAAGTGTCATTTCGACACGGGAAAGTGTCATTCTGACCCGGGAGAAGTGTCATTTTGACACGGGAAAGTGTCATTATGTCCCGGGAAAGTGTCATTTCGACCCGGAAAAGTGTCATTTGACCCGTAAAGGTATCATTTGATATGGGAAAAGTGTCATTTGGAACCGGAAAAGTGTCACTTTGATCCGGAAAAGTATCAGGTCAAATAGAACTTGGATTCCGGGTCAAATCTGACCTGGACTTTTAGGAGTGTGTAAATCAATACTGTTATAACTGTTAACTCAGTAAAGAAGACCTTATATTGTTTCTGCTGAATTTTACTGAAATTGCGAGGCATTTTATAATGAAGTGCACAAGTGAACCCGATCCTACGTCTTAGTCACTCTAAGTCAACCTCGCTTGGTAAATATGCTCTAATGTTCTCGCTTACGGGTAGCTGACGAGAATTAATTGCAGCAAATATAGTGTCTTGTTCAAAGCCGCGTTTGTCTTAAAGCAATAATTGCTGGTCCCAAAGGGTCAGCCTAGTGCCCTATTCGTGCCTGACTTCTTTGTCACTCACTGACTGACTGTCAGCTGCAAGCCGGGCAGTGCTATCGTATGGGATTACCCCATTACGCCAATGAGTGTAGCAAGCCGGCCCATAGACTAGATGTATGAAATGACTCCCAGTTAATAAGCCATTCTGAATCAATTGAATATAATGTTGTGCTCTCCGAGACCAGCTTTGTCTAGTCTTGCTTAGATTCGTTTACTTAGGAGCTCAACTTGAGCAACTGGTGTTCGGGGAAATCTTCATGAGATATTTTACACTTTAACATTCCCTGCAAAACATAATGAATAAAGTGTGTCGCTTATAGCTATAAGCACATTTCCATGGGCGTCGCCAGGATTTTTTCTAGAGGGGGGAAAACATATTTTTGCCAACAAATGCCTGTATTTCTCAACACATTCTCGATCTATAGAGGGGGGCAGGGACATTTTGTCCCCCCAACCCATTAAATTTACACCACTATGACTTCGCGCTTTTTTTTCTTTTCGTTTTCCCTTTTTTTTTTTTTTTTTTGCTTTTCGGGGGGGGGGGGGAGGCAAGTGCCCCACTTGCCCCCCCCCCCCTCACGACGCCCATGCACATTCCACAAAAGCTAAGTCTCAAAACACTTCACAGCAATTACCCCTTCATCAGGCCACAAGACCACTTTTCTGCAGCCAAGATCAGCGCATTCTGGTCTCTACCCTCACATGTACCCATTTACTCCCGAGTGGAGAGAGGCAATTGTAGTAAAGTGTCTTGCCCAAGGACACAAGCACCATTTTCATGACACAGAGCACCAGGGTACGAACCCATGTGACATGGCACATGGGTCGAACACCGTCACCATCGGAGCACGGCGCGCCACATACAAATAATTCGGCCGGTGCGCTGTTTGGATTAAAAGCGATGGCACCGAGAATCAAAAGTGACACCTGTAAATTGAACTTCAAACGGAGAGTTTCCAAAGTATCAAAGTCCAATCAGAATGTACTTCCAGTGCCGAATGAATCGCCAAACGTGAGCGCTACTCTGTCTCACAACGTGCTCATGTTGAAGAACGGGAAATGAATTCACAATGAGTGTAATGTGCCTGTGATCACTGTACAGTTGCTCTTTTAAAGCTCCAGACTTATGTTCCATGTCCCTGTTCTCGGCGAGAACAATGACACACGCACCGCCAGGTACGTCACTCTTAATTTCCCACTTCGTCGTCGAAGAGACTTACTGCACTATTGTGTATCGAGTGCTCTACATACGCAATGACCACACAGTGGAAATCTCCAGGGAGTGTAGTAACTACACCCGATATGTTTTCCTCGTTCATTATGATGTGAGAAGGGTCCGTATGCGATGCACTGACCGCGAAACCGAGACGGGTTGAGTGGGGAGAACCGATCGGTTGGGGTACCAGTCCTTGGGGTGGTTTTGTCCTTTTGCCTGGTCGCATCTTGGCGGAGGAGGGGTGTTATCTTACTGCTGATTCGGGGAAAAAAACATGAATACAATACGGTACATTGCAGGACTGCCCGCTGCGTGACTCTCAGATGGATAATTTGGCAGGACAATTTCGTAACTGTAAGGAAACAGTCCGCGGCGACATTGCAAAAAAAGAAGTCGACGGCAAACAAAATCTGAGTCCGCGTGGTCAAAGCGTTTTATGATCAAGTACACTGCACGCTATCAATTTACCTATACTGAGGCCCCCTTCAATGGCGAAAGCATTGTGCTAGCTATTGTGCAAAGCAACTTCGCCATTGAAGGGGGCCTCCCTCGAGTGAACAGTCATGGCGTTCTCGGATTGGTTTTATTAGACTAGTGAAGTTTATATTGCCGACCATGTGTAATGTGTATACCTGATAACACCTATGTATACCTGATAAATTGAGCATACTTGAAATTCACACTTTGTAGTTCCATGTTTCCCACCTCTCTTCCGTAGACTGAACACGCAGACGTACGTGTGAAGACCATTCTCAAAAAAGGGTCTCCGTTCGAGGACAGCAATGAATCCTACTAAATTGAAGCACTTGGAATTCGCATTATTATACTCTATCATAAACTACGCAGAGAGACGTACGTGTGAGGACTATACTCAACAATAGATCTCTGTTCGAGTACAACAATGAAACCTACTAAACTGAAGTACTTTGAATTCACACATACTCTCCCTTAGACTACGCACAGAGCCGTACGTTTGAAGACCATTCTCAACAAAAGATCTCCGTTCGAGGACAACAATTAATCCTACTAAATTGAAGCACTTAGAATTTGCACATACTCTCCCATAGACTACACACAGAGACGTACGTGTGAGGACCAGTCTCAACAAAAGATCTGCGATAGAGGACAACAATGCATCCCACTAAATTGAAGCACTAATTGGAATTCGCATTTTACTCTACCATAGACTACGAACAGAGACGTACGTGTGAGGAATATTCTCAACAAAAGATAGCCGTACGAGGACAACAGTGAATCTGCGCTTCTCTCTTTGTTTTGCTGTCCTTGGACTGTATACTGTATAATATGTAGCACCAAACACAATAATGACTAGAAAGCCCATGACATAAGCTACGTTTAGATGAAAAAACTTACTGAAATTACTCAATCCGTTCAAAGAATATCACCATTTAAACACAATGACCCTAAAACCCCTCTCGTCCAAAAATGCGATTTCAAGAATCATCGTCACAATTGTCTTCAAACATCATCAGCGATACAACCTAAATTAAAAAGTTAAAAAATATCCAACAAAGTCCTTTTGAAGGGCCGTCTTTTCAAAAAAGTTGATTTTATAAGTCATGTTGTTTGCCAAACCAGTGTTGTTAACTTTGATATTGTGAACAGTTGTTGACAGTTGTTGAAACAAGTATTCTGTGTAATTTTCTCTGTTGTTCCAAACAGTAAGAATACAAAATAAATTGCTTTTTTTGGACGAAACATGTGTAAGGGTCATTGTGTTTAAATGGTGATATTCTTTGAATGGATTGAGCAATTTCAGTAATTTTTTTCATCTAAAAGTAGCTTATGAAAACGGCTTTCCAGTCATTTTTATTTCTGGTGCTATATGTGTTTGAAAATAGGAAATAATTTTTTTAGGGTTGGGGTTCCACTTTTTTTTAACAATCACTGGACTTCATCAGATTTATACAACATTCTCTCAAACTGAAGGTTCTGCTCAGAAAACTTCACAGTCAAACAAGTGTTTTTACCAAAACCGTTCGCATTCTGTAACTTTTATTACCAGACGTACCGCCAACATATGTTTGTACACGATCCACCAACCACCCCTGCCAACCAATATTATTGCAAAAAACATACACTATTTCATGTTTCTGTTGACATAAAAAACAACAATGTGGACGTTATTTCTCAAATGACAACATGTTCGCCGGAAGGGTCAACCTGAGCGTGTCGGTGTCTTTTCCGTGTTTTGCTTACGATGATGCCGAGTACTTTTACACACACTCGTTTTGTATTCACGTTCGTCGTTGGTCACGACCTCCAAGGCAAATATCGGATTTTTGTCACTTTTTTTGTTTATGAATCCAGAGAGTTGTGTTTTCCAAGAGGGAAAGCGGGAGCTGCGAGTATGGAATAATTGGCCCGGCAGCGTGGACTAGGCGTGAGCCACAATTGAAACTGGATCTTTGGCCCGAGCCGGCCGGCGTATGTGGCTTTTGAGTTTACGGGGCCAGCGGGCCTCGGATTACCCGTGCTCGGCCCGGAGGCACGCGCTCGAGTGGCCCGCCAAAGATGGAATAACGAATTCAAGCACGCATTTTCATTCAGTGGAATTACCGTGTGATGGGGTGCAAAACTAGGCCGTCTTGTCGGTTCCTCAAGAGCGGGATCTGCCGTTGAGAAATCACACATAGCGAGTTTTTTCGCGGGTTGAGATCAACCTGTAAGTAGGTTGTCAATAATTGTTGACACTGGCCTATTCATGAACCAGAAACGGCAATCATTTCCACAACTGAAAATGAATTCATGTGATTTTTTTTTAGATGTATTTCAAGAATTATTCATGAAATTGTCAAGATGTCACGCATTCATCAATTTTTATCCATTCGCTGCAAGAAGTAGACGATAAATCTTAACGCTGGGCTATTCAAGTATCGCCATTTGTCAATTTTTTTTTTTAATTCCTATAACATTTTGATGGTCAAA